AGAAGGGATTCTTACGAGATTGACTTGGATAGTATTCTCGCGGATGGAAGTCATGTCCTACAAAACAGAACAAAGATAAATCCCAATCATCCTTGAAATGGATAGTGAGAATGCTTATGATGTTATGTACAAGTAAGCATATACGCACAAGGCAAACAAGTCCTTAGGTTTAGGCTTGCATGGAGTCTTATAGGAAAGTACCCTCTTGAAGTTTAGTTGGCTCAACCTGTCCTAGTAATAGTAATCGGGTTCTAAGAGATCTCAATATCACTGATCTTTCTTGTCGGGAATTGTTTCAGCGTAAGCATATTTAATAGTGACCGAAATATCCTGAGAAGTCTGATCTCAATGAGCATAGTATCAAGTATCAACCAACTTCAGACTGTACCAAAGCCGGCTATCTCACTACTTCTTAATGGCCAAGTTGGTCAAGTAAAGGTTCTAAAGTCAGTTAGTGCTTCATGACACGATACAACGGTCCCGTATTCTCCTTGACTACTCAAGGGCTACCGGTACCCACAAATGTGTCACACTAACGTAGTTATTTCTTAGACCATGTTGGTATATCCCACACAGTTTCCATAATATATTACTACTTACCTATAAGCTATCCCAGATCTGGATAGAGGATCAAAACAAGCCCAAACAAGGAACCAAAAATGTAAAGCAAACAATTCAAACAATAAAAGCAAATAAAGGTGATCTAGCCCTAAGGTAAACCCACTTTTAAGTTAATCCCCAACAGAGTCGTCAGTTCTGTAATACAGTGGGAGAACTAACTCGGGATGTTTTGCGTTTTATCGCAATTGTTGCGGTTAGCAAGAGTCGCCATCGACTTTTCTTTTATCCAAAAAGAAAGGTGGAAAAGAACAGGAAAAACCTTTGAGATTATTTTCTTGAGTTCGGGGGGTAAATCATGAAAAGGGGAGGTATTAACACCCTTTTCATCCATAGTTATCTATGGGCTCTTAGTTGCTTGCTAGATCACTTGCTTTTGTTTGAAAATATGTTTTGTGGTAGTTTTTGAAGGTATTTTTGAAAAGGCGCCTTTGTTTAGGAAAACTTTATAACAATTCTCGTTTCGGAAAGAACGTATACAAAGTGTTAGACTTTTGAAAATATTTCATGTTTTGAAAGTGTTTGTTGTTTGTTTTGAAAGTGTTTGGTGTGTGTTTTTTTAAAGTGAGCAAGCAACTAAGAACATTTCTACCTACTCAAAAGTCTTTGTTCATTTCCCTCCTTTCCTTTGATATTGTTATCTTACCATTGATTGGTAAGAAGCCTTATCTTTGGATGTAAAAGGGACGGACGTGGGTCATCGTATGGTCATGATAGCAATGTTGTAAGATGTCTTAGCATTTCTCTTTGAGGGACTAAGATCATTTGAAAGGCAACATTTGTAGCGTCATCGAGGGACTATGATCTTGTATTTCGATTGTTTTTGCTAAGACATCTCACATGCATAACATGACCATTTTTAGGTAACAAGTGAAGTTAACCCTAGGGGTGCATGTGTGAATAGTGTATTTAGTTTGCATGCATTTAGTTCTTGATTAGGGATTGTCTACTTGTTGATTTTATCTTTCCATATGAATCCTAATTACTAGCATTTATATGAAAATGATAATTTGTAGAAAATAAATATTCTACGCTATTACAATCATTAAGGGGATGGGGTGTACAAATTTACAAATGGGGATTGCAAGAAATTAAAGTCCTAATTATCTATTTCAACCATATTGAAATAATGTACAAGAAATGTAAAGTGGACTTGTTTGTTTTTGTTAAGAAAAGAAATAAGGTTGCTCAAGAAAATATCTCTTGATCTTTTGGTTTTAAAAGAGATAAAGTATATGAATATAAAAATATTTTTATATTTTTGATTATTAAAGATAAAATAAAGTAATAAGAGAAAAATGGGTCAGAATCAGCACGTTGCTGAAATAAGAGGGAACTGAAATAAGGGGCAGAAATTCTAACTCTGATAAGCAAAAAGGGGAAGGCCAGAAGTTTTGGATCCGAGTACATTAAAGTTCTGAGGATACTGGGAACAAAGGAAAGCCTATAAGTTCTGATTCCTGAGGGAGTCTAGAAGCTCTAGTGCAGCTGGAAATCTAGAAGTTCTAATATCACTGGCAAGTCAGAAGTTCTGGTTGTTTGAGAGAGTGAGGTGATAATATTGTTGGGTGAGGATATCTAGAAGTTTTGATATAGGAATATTGTCTGACAGATAAATGGGTAAAAATGTCAATAAATGAACCTAAAATAAAGATGCTTCTGGGGCTAGAATTCAGGATCCTTAGCACTAATATCTTATGCACACGCTTTCTACCACTACGGTGGATGTATATCCGGTATTAGAAGTAAAAGCATAAACATGTATCACAAAGTAAACTCTGATGATGAACTTCATCTCCTTCTCCATGCTAGTCAGAGCATCTGCAACTTAGTCATTTCTCAATAAAAATGTAAAATGCAAATATAGCAGTTATGGCAGGTTTCCATCATGATTTCAGAAACGTAAAATATTAGGAATGTAATTTGGTCAAGAAACACTTGAGGAAAATTGGAGTTTGAAAGCAAAAAATCAGAAACTAGCAGGTTTTGTATTTGTGTTTGCAATTTCTGATTCTTGGAGTTTTTAACAAGGTTTCAAGGCTTTTTTTTCTTTTCAATTTTTCGACCCCTTTACAGTTGCCAATGAAATTCAATTTATAGGCAAGGATTTTGTAGCTTGGAGAAGTCAAGAGTACAACCATCATGCTAGAGCGCTGACTTGTTCTTGAAGCAAGTTAAACAAGTATGGTGGTTAGCAACTTTTAGCCGTGCCTAAGCTGGATTTTTAAGCATGAATTAAGGAAAAGTAATCTCAAAGACAAAAGAAAAGCATGGGCCAGCATAAACTTTGTACAAAATTTTCCTTTCCAAAGACAACCATGGTACTTCTATGCCACACGTGGGAAAATCTTTTGGACAAAGACTCAAAAGTGGGTGCGAGCATTAAATGATGATGAGATTTGTCAAAACAGAATCCTACAATATGAGATTATGTGTCATAGCTTAATCTGGATCAGAAGTTCAGCATCAGTGTAGCTTAAAACAAACATCCAACTTCTGATCTTTGAATCTTCCTGCTCCAGCATGTTCTGAAGGAGTTCTTAGAATTTCCAGAAAGCTTGTAACACGCTTTGTAGATCTTCTTTGAATTACTCTTGCAAATTTTGATTGAAACTACATACAAATTGACCCAGAAGTTCTAACCAAACTCTGTCTTGGAAATGTCCAGAATTTGCTGAGTGCTTCAATTTCATGGACGTGCCTTCAAAGATTCATAACTTGAAATCCCAGTATTTCTAGGAGAAGTTCTGTTCTGCAGCCTTTGAGATCTCATTGAGGTCTATAATTCTTGTGTTATAAGTTCTTTCAGAATCAACTTCCATCATGGTGAAAATCTGGCCAGAAGTTCTGAACTTATCATATTTCTTAAACACTTAGAAAAATTTCTAAGTACTTGGAATTTTGACTTTTCCAAAGTAATTTTGACCTTTGTTTTTCTTGATGAAACAAATTTAATATTCCAACATGTCTTGATGAAATATGATTCTTGAAACTTGATTTTGATCCAAAAGTCAAAGTTTGATTTTTCAGTGTGCATTTTGACCATTTTACCCTTGTGTCAATTACAAACTTAAATTGATGTATCAGTGCTACAAACTTGAGCCATGGAAAACCTTGTGAGAAAATTCTTGAGAAGTGAGAGGAGAAATTTTGGGGTACAACAACTACTATTTAGCTCATCATCAGCTCTTATACTCAAAGGCTTCTCCGATTCTGATTGGGGAGCATGCCCCTATACTAGAAGGTCAACAACTGGCTTTTGTTTCTTCCTTGGAAGCTCTTTGATAAGTTGGAAAAATAAGAAGCAGACAGTGGTGTTCAGATCATCATTTGAAGTTGAATATCGAGCATTGGCACAAGCTACATGTGAAGGGAAATGGATCTTGTATCTGCTGCAAAACTTTCAGATTAAACACCCAACTCCAATTGTGATCTATTGTGACAGCAAGTCAACTTTTCGTATAGCAGCTAACCCCGTGTGTCATTAGAGAACTAAGCACATTGAGATTGATTGTTATATGGTGAGACACAACATGCAGGCATGAATACTTCACTCGCTTCCCATTGCATCAAAGGACCAAGTAGTTGACATTTTGACAAAAATCTCTCCACATAGGGCCTTTTAGCAACCTTTAAAGCAAGTTAGGAATGATCAATATCTATTCCAGCTCGAGGGAGATGTTAAGCATGATGAACAAGCAAAGTAGTGAGATTTCTTAATGTGCAAGTAACAACGAGGATCATTAGTTAGTTAAGTAGTTTCTAGTTGGTTATGAGAGTTAGTTAGAATGTAACTAACTCTAGATCACTATATATACTTGATGTCTTGTAACGATCAAACTCAGTAGTGAAATATATAAGTTTATCTTCTTCTTCTTTGTGATGCAAGCTTCTTTTTCTCATTTCAATGGTGCATGAGTTATAGTTTCACAACCTTGACTTTGTAGTAGGAACCTGTAGCCCAACTAACCTGTGTTGAAGATACCACTCAACCAATTGGTGCCGACCCTTTCACTCTAGAGATTGGTAAAACGAGAGGTTCCCTTTGTTTGGAGGATAGTTAAGAAAATCCTAGAGATACAATTGGTTTAGAACACGTTTCTCTCCCATATGTCGTGTTTGGTGGTTCCTCAATTATAGTTCAAGTCTGCACAATACCAATAACTGAATGTAATTTATAGACATTGGTCACTTTTTAAATCTAACTAATGTAATCTATACAATTCACATTTTTCTAAAACAATGTTAACAATAAACATATTAAAGTATGAAATCATGACAAATTAAAAAAGTGCTACTAACAACATTTCTTCTAGCACACTTTTAGACTCATCTGAATGAATTCCTTGCGACAAAAGATAAATGTATACAAAAAAAGTGTGCTAGATAGTTTCCTGATAGCATTCATTATCTTTGAATAACAAAGATAATCTAGGTTTATATGCATGATTTTGTTGTCCAAGTAAAAGTGCTTTCAAAATAGCTTCACATAACCCCTTATAATACACAATTAAATGGCCACCATCTGGTACTTCATGATATTGTATCCATGGCAGCTGCGATGAAACAAATCTTTGGATTTCAGAAGGCACAACTTTATCTTCATATCCTTGCCAAATGTGAAATGAACTTTGTTTGTTAGGGAACGGATTGTTTAACTTCATTGGATCAAACTCCCATTTTCCAAAAGCTACCTTCCAATCATGGAGAAGTGTATCAAAAACAACTTGTTCCCTTAACCTATCCTGTATGTAGAAACATATCATGATTAATCAAGAGATATTTGAGACGACGCACTGGAATTTAGAGTGTCTGATTTCGATCCAACCGTAAGTGTGATAACATTGGACTAACTTGTTACCTTTGAAAACATTGGGAAGCCGGGAATAGTTTTCAAAATATCGATATCGTTTTTGTTGAAGAATGTTGGATTTTTTTCTATGACAGCATTTGAAGGTAGCCACTTTTGAGTAGCCCACCAATGCAATAGTTTAGGACAGTGATTTGCAAGCCACATTGCCCACTTAATAAACCTCCTTCTATAGTCTTCTCTTATCAAACTTCTAGGAAGAGAAGGCCATCTGTAATTGATCACTGGCGCTATCAGTGCCAACCCTGCAAGCCTGCACAATTCTCTCTTTTCGTAAACATATGCGCGAGACCGTATCAGTATAATCTTGAATTTATCATTTACCTGTGAGGCAAATATTTTAGACAACTCCAACTGGCATATGAACCCATTGAGACTCCAATTACATAAAAGTGTGCTCCAATTTGTAGCTGATCAGCAAGCTCTTCAATATCAAGAGCTTCGCTTTTCAATGAACGTTTCGGATTTGGATCACTTTCTCCATATCCGGCCCGATCATATTGTAGAAGATAAATACCTAATTCATCTATCAATTCCTATAAGAATGAATCCTATCATATTCAGAATATTTGAACCATATAAACATTTTGTTTCTATAGTATTATGATAATTAGATATACATAAATAGAAGGCAAACAGGCAGTGTCATTATTTGCACAATTGATTAGAGATTGAGTTAATTACTTGGGGTGCTAGAAAATTCATCTCTTTGGAGCTTCCAAAACCATGCACAATGATGATCTTGTATGATGCCTCATCTTTAGGTACACCTCTTTCAACATAAGCCAGGTGTCTACCATCTCTGAGTCTAATTCTTGATGAAACCATAGATAAATCATCAACTGAATCATCGTTGTTCGGAGAAAGCTGAGTTCCCTGATAAATTAAAACCATGAACAAAAATGAACAAAAATGAACAAAAAATATTTTTAGTAAGCACTTATTTTGCACTATGAACAAGATCATGTGTTACCTGACAGAAACATCTGCATAATTTATGTGTTTGACCTTGTTGATTTTGAGTTAAAAACTTAAGATAATGTCTCATTCTTTTCATCTTCTCCTGAATTATGAACCTTACAGTATAGTATTTATGCATATAAATGAAATGAGAGGTGAATTTGGCTATAAAAACAGATAAGTTTGCATTTTCTTTATGATGTTATTTCATTTTGAAAGGATATCCTTTGAAAGGTTCCATGAGATAGTAGCATCTTTTTTTCTATGTAGTCTTTACCAATTAGCTAACTTTTTGTATTGTTTTCTAGATTTGAACTTTACATTATTTTTTATACTTGTTTAGAATTAAGACTCCGTGCAAGTTATTTCAACACTTCATTATTAGTTTGATTGTGATGTTTTTGGCTTTGATTAATGATTTTTTTTTTAATTCTAATTTTCATGTTGTAAGATACACTTTAACAATTTTTTATAGTAAACATTCATTTTTACAATTCATGAATAGTAGATTTTGAGGCTCATAATTGTTTCTGAGTTTATACCCAGATGTATTAAGAATATTCTTTTTTGTGTCCGACTTTATTAATATTAACAACTCACTACTAAACACTAAAGTTTTTTGTTGGATAGGAATATTCCTTGAAGTTAGAGTAGTATGTTTTTTTCTTTCATCATAATATGGTCCAAAGCTACTGTATTTGATAGGACACAACTTGCTCAGCAGATACTGTGTCTTAAAACCAATTTTTATGAGATTTATTTATTTAGAATAATTAAAGTGAAATTCTAAGTCATATATCCCAGAAATTAAATCCTCTCCAATCAAGAAAGTACACACTTCCTAGAGACATTTTGAAGGCTATTGTTGTCATTTCACCATTCAATTTTATATCTTTCAACATTTTCTATAGTAAATTTTGCCTAAATGCAGGGTCCTGCAGTGATATGTGATTGCAAGGATTCAGGTTCATATATCCCATTTGATTTTTCCCTAGGCTCTGCTAGTAAGGATGACAATAGGTGGAGAGTATAGGTAGAATAATATAGTATGTGATTTGAGCATGTAAGTATTCATATTCGTTATTTATATTTCTAATATATATATAAAAAAATCTGAAAGGGCGGTCCAGACAAAAGTTAGGGAATTAAAGCGTATGATTATGTCTCGTCGAACCACTTTAAGTGTAATCTCTTCACTGACAAACTCTGAGCTTCTGATCAATTCAATCATCTTCGGACGAAGTAATGGATGGACAAGATATTCGGAGTTACGAAGGCTATAGCGGAATGAGAACCCCATGAGATTTTTACACACATAGCTATCTTTCTTTGTATAAAATTTTCTTACTTTTATGACATCATCCTCTTACTAGGATGTCTGTCTCCTTTGTACAAAACACTTACTCAAAGTTAATACAAAGATATCTCTTTCAAAGTACAAAAACTATTTGTCTTTTTCTTTTTTACACTTGTGTTTTTATTTGCAAAAACGTTCAATGATTCATTGATGAACATATGCATTTGAACATAATTACTGTTTACAAATAAACAAAGTGGAAAAGAACAATTACTGACAGGCTGAAAGGATAGGAAAACGTCTTTAGGCTATTCCAGGAGCAATCCCTACAGTACATCATCTAGGTCCCCAGCGGAGCTAAAACCTTGAAATGCATATCCCCAGCGGAGTTATAATTTCAAACCCTTAATTCCCATCAGAGTTAAGTTTTCAAACTCCCAATCCACAGCGGAGCCAAAACTTTAAATTACAGATCCCCAACGGAGATGAAACCTTCTTCCTCAGCGAAGTCAAATTTCCAACTATCAACCTCCAGTGGAGACCATCCAATTTCTCCAAATTCCCCAGCAAGTTGTCTTGAAGCCTGGAAACCAACCAGATAACAGTTAATTTTTTGTCCTTCCCCAACCTAGGATAATTCCCCAGTAGAGTGGCAGACAACCCAAACTCCTGAACTTTTTTCCAAACAGGAATAAGCTTTTCCCACAGAGTCCTGGACTTACTCTCCAGCAGTAAGCATTCATCCCCACAGAAGTTGTCAAGGATCTTTAATCCCCAACAGTCACCAAGGATTTCTCGTCCTCAGCAATCAAAGATTTTGAATCTCCAGCAGCGGTCAAGGATTTATTTTCCCCGACAGCTGTCAAGGATTTCATTATCCCTAGCTATCAAGGATTTATTTTCCTCAGCAATACAGCTAATCAGCTTACATGCGCATACATTACATTCATATATCATAAACATTGATAAAACACATTTATTGCATCATACATTTCATGCAACATAACTCTGTGTTTCAGCTAACATTTTACCCTTTCCAGGATAAGATTAATAGCTATCATTAATAATATTCAACATTCAGATACAGTAAAGATACACTCCAGACACGGAAGTCATTCTATTACTCATTCAGAATTCAAGGTCAAGATACAGTTCAGATACGCTCCAGACACGGAAGCCATTCTGTCACTTATTCAGGTCTCTTATTCAGAATTCAAAGTCAAGATACAGTTCAGATACACTCCAGACATGGAAGTCATTTTGTTGCTCATTCAGACTCAGATCTCAGATACAATACGGATACACTCCAGACACAAAAGTCATTCTGTCACTTATTCAGATTCAAGTACGGATACACTCCAGACACAGAAGTCATTCTGCTACTTATTCAAGATGCAGTCCGGATACGCCCCAAACAAGGTTGTCATTCTGTCACTTATTCTGACTTTTTCCCCAGCCCAGAGACGCTCCAGACGCGGATGACATTCTGTCGCTTATTCAAATTTCAGACTCAGATACAATACAGATACACTCCAAACACGGGAGTCATTCTGTTATTCATTCAGATTCAAGTATAGTTACAGCTCGGATACGCTCCAGACACGGCTGTTATTCCCTTGCTTATACAGATTCAGTCTCCAGATACAATTCAGATACGTTCCAGATACGGACACCATTCTGATACTCATTCTTTTGACTTACAACTTACAACTCAGCAAACATTCTTGGATGGCATCTTCAAGCCCATCTCCAACAGGATTCTATCACCTCTCCAAATGGAATCTGTTAAGCCCATTTCCTCAGCTACACTTTGACGAGTGCAAATTTACGGGCACTCTAGTGTCCAATCATCTTTTACCTTCGAGTCACGAATGGCAAAACTCGTCAATCTAACTCTTCAGGTTCAAGAAGATTGAACAGGGGCAGCTGTTGTACCCCAAAATTTTCCCTCTCATTTTATCAAGATTTCCCCTCACAAGACTTCTTGGATTCAAGGCCAGATTAGGATTTGCTCAGCTCAAGACATCTCCTTGCACTGATAACTTGAAATTAGGGTTTGAGTTTGAACAAGGATTTTTGGACCATCAATGCCTCATGTGACTTTCATACACAATCTTGGACCCCTAATATTGTTCATACTAAGTTTCAAGTCTTGAATCACATTTTTGCCCAGTCAATTGGACAGTTGACCTAAAAATCAGCTGTGTTGGGGAAAAAGTCAACCATGGCCAATTTACAGTCAAACTTCATAATTTTTTATCCACATCAACATTATAGGCTCCTATGTACTATTTGATCAAGTTTGGACCACAACTCCTCAAGAAATTTGATCAGATCATCAAAAGGGCAAAATGGTCAAAATTAGGGTTTTGACTAAGGAAGGGTAATTTCTGATTTTTAACCTTGCCAATGACCAATTGGGTTCAAGCATGATTTCAAGGACTCAATAGCATCATCTTGACCTAATCACATAGTTCAAAAGATCTCAAATGCATAGGATTGACAGATGAATTTTGCAGTCAAATTATCAAAAATCAACTGTACACTGAAAAGTCAAACTTTGACTTTTTGATCAAAATCAAGTGCCAAGGGTCATACCAAGCATTTGGTTGCCCCTTTGTAACAGCAAACCAAAAACTCCAACAAACTTTCTCCAGCTTTAGGATAACACCTGAATAACTAGTTATCCTGGCGCTAGTTGATGCCAGTTCGCGCCCTTTGTACCCTCTCGAAATTTGCAGCAATTCTCTGGTTGCAGATGATGCTGCACCTAGGGCATAGTATCATTTCAGCATCTCCTTTGTGGCACAACATGAGGTAATCTTTAAGACTAGCATCCCCAGCATAATTATCCTCCATTTTATACTTTTCTTTTTCTAAGTATTTCTCCACCTCCTCCATTTCAGAACGAGGTCTCTCCATATTCACCATGTTTACATCAACATCCTCCCCCTTAGTGTCATCATCTCCCCATCCTGTAGGTTTTATATCTTCAATTTGGATTTTTGAACTCTCTGGGGCAGAATACTTGACCAAGTAGTCAAACTTTCCACTGGGCTCCCCTAAAGTATCCCATATTTCTTTCTGAGGGGAGGGTGGCTTCGTGATCTGGACTTTCTCCAATTCTAGCCTCAGGCCTTCAGTAACCTGTGTCAACTCTTGCTTTTGGTTTTCCTGGCCTTCAGTAGCCTGGATTTCTTTTGCAACAGCTAAAGGTGCTGCTTCAATCGAAGCCTCTGGTTGCTTGTGGACGTCCTCAGTGACTCCCTTGTTGACTTCGACTAACACCCAACTTTCATTCTCAGTGCCTTTCTCTCCTAATGGAGTGTCATTTTGATCTGCTTCCACCATATTGATTTCTCCAATGCATGCAGGCTCGGAGTAATTGGTGTCTGCAACATCCAAAGGATCTTCATCTACTTTCATTTTTGGTTTATCAGCGAATTTCAGTCTGCCATCTTTAATTGCATTCTGAATTAGGTCCCTGAAAAGAAAACACTGTGAGGTTTTGTGGCCTAGGAAACTATGATACTTGCAAAATCCTCTTTTCTTCCTTTGATCTAAAGGAGGTATTTTGACATTTGATGGCACAATGAGTTGGCCATCTTTGACAAGTAAATCAAAAATCTCGTCACACTTAGTTACATCGAAGGTATAAACCTTCTTTGGGAATTTGTCACTTTTCTCATTTTCAACAATTTCTTTCCCTTTTGTGGGAACTAATAACTTACAAGAGTAAGGTGGAGCCTGTTTTAATTCAGCGAGATCAATTTCGACCTCTTCGAATTCAGGGTAATCTTCTGCTTCCTCAGCTCCAACATAGGAGACCCTTTCTTTCTTGT